CAAGTGCCATGGGCGGGGACGCTACAAGTGCAGCGGCTGCCACGGGGCCTGCATGGTAAGTCTTGTGTGGCCGATGGTAAGTGTAGTGTGGGCGGAGGAACCCCCGGGGGCAGAGGGCTGGGCTGGGGGCCTAACAGTGGCACCCCAGGCAAGTCATTCCCCCTGGCCAGACCTCTGTTTTCCCACCTGTACGATGGGAAGGTTGGATTGGGTGGTCTCTATTGGCCTTTTTCACTTGTGTGGTTTATGATTGTAATTTTGCTCTTTTTTTCTCATCCATCTATGAGCATTCATTGAGTACCTGCTTGGCACTAGGCCCAGCAAGAGGACTAAGGCCTGAGTCCTGCCCACCAGGCTCCCCTGCTGTGGGGGAGGCACAGTGACTGGCACTTGTAGTACAGAGTGATTGGAGCCGAGAAAATCACGTTCATAGGGCTTCCAGTTTCCGAGGGCGACTGTAATAGGTCACCACCAGCTGGGGGCCTTAGGACAACAGGCATCTATTCTCTCACAGTCCTGGGGGCTGGAAGCCCAGCATCAGGGTGTCAGCGGGGCAGTCCCTTCTGGAGGCTCTGAGCTCTGGGCAGCTGCTGGCACTCCTGGGCGTCCTTGGCTTGTGGCCCCATCCCTCCATGCCATCCGCCTCCGTCCTCCATGCCATCACCTTGGGTGTCTCTCTGTCCTCCTGGCCTCCTTATAAAGACACTGGTATTGGATTAGGGCCCACCTAGTCCAGGATGACCTCATCTTAACTAATTAGTCTGCAAAGACTAGTTCCGAATGAGGTCACTTTCTGAGGCTCTGTTGGGTGTAAATTTTGGTGGGGGGAGAGGTGGGACACGATTCCACCCCGGACAGGCCCCTAAGCACACAGCCAGGCTCTGGTGGCATCAGCCTTTGCATATACTTCCAGGGCTACTAATGGTCCCAGGAGTCGTACCAGGCTCCTCACGTGTTCTCAGCTCTCCCATTTACACCTCATCCTCTGGGCACATGCTGACCACTGTCACTCTGAGCTGTCTCCCTCCATCCTCCCTCTGCCCGCCTGCCACTCCACCCCGTTGCTGCCCTCCTTCCGCCTGCTGTGTGCTCACTCCTCTGCCCGCCTGAGCACCGTGTGGGGCCAGCTGTGGCCACGCCTACCCAGTCTATTCTGTGCCTTCACTCCTGCGGTTCACCTCCTCCCCGAGGTCATTTCTGTGCCTTTCTCCACCCCTGCTCCTCTGCTCCTCCTCCTCCTCCCCCTCCTCTCTCAGGCTCCCCCTGGAGTGTCCCTGGTGCCCACTCTGAGCCACCTTGGGAACGTTGCCTGAGTCACCTCTGGGGGCCTCTCCAAGATAGAGACCCCGTGTCCAACACCAGCTCTCTCAGCCAGCCTGTCCCTCTCCCTGCTCCTCTGGCCATGGCTGCTTAGTTAGGGGACAGTCCCTGGGATCAGGGGGATTAGTGAGGAGCAGGAGAGGCTGCTGCCCCAGGGATGGAGGATGTATAGCCCCTGAAAGCCTCTGGAGGGGTCCTAAGATACACTCCGTCCCACCCTCCCATTTTCCAGGGGGAGGGAGGGAGGCCCAGGGAGAGGAAGGGACTGCTCAAAGTCACCAGACTGGGATTTGACCACGTCTGGGATGCTCTCTGCTCCACTTCCCTGCGCGGCCAGGGTACTGAGGCCTGTGTGTCCGCAGGTGAGGTGCCCCTCCTGCAGCGGAGCCAAGCGCAGAGCCAAGCAGCCTGGGAGGTGCCAGCTGTGCTCCGGGTCGGGCAGGCACAGGTAGGAGCAGGTCTCCCTGGCTTTTCACTGTCTGCCCTTTTGGAAGGTGACCAGGCACCCTGTCCACCTTGTCATCCTGTCCCAAGGCTCTGTGCATAGTAGGTGCTGATACATATCTGTGGAGCGGTGGGCTTTTCTTGAGGGAGGCCTGACATTTGTGAACAAGACTGGAACTCATCCAGCAATGGGTCAGGTGTAGGAGCAAGGCGCTGCGGGAAGGAGGGGAAAGGAAGGAGGGAGACCTGTTCCTGCTCAGCTCGGGGGCGGGGGGAGTGGACACAGAGAAGCAGCCAAAGCTGAGATTCTTAACTCTCTGAGGGCCTGTGAATGGAGGAGTCCAGGAAGGTTGGTTGATTAAACAACCAGCAAAGCTGCATCTCTGCTCACAGGGCTTTGCAGGCAGCGGGGCATTGCATTTTGTAAATCGGGGCCTTTAATGTATTTATAAATCTTTAAAGGGAAACAGAAAACCATGAGGAGTGAAATCATTCAAACTTGTGTTGGTTGAAGATACTTTTAGCTCATTAAGGCCCTGGCTGTCCTTCTAACAAGGCAGATGGTGAAGCTTTAGTTGACCTGCCCCCTGTGACTAGTATAGAAGGTTTTTGATGGGGAAAGAAACTCAGGTTTCTTTCAGTTACAAGTGAAAGAAATCCAGTTCAAACTGGCTTCAGCAAAAACATAAATGTATAGTCCTACCGAACAGAAACATCCAGGGATAGATTTCTGGGAAGGCTTCAGGTACAGCTGGATCCAGGTGCTTAAACAGTCTCATTGGGAATCTGTCTCTACTCCGTACTGTGCTTTCCTTTGTGATGGCTTTAGTCTCAGGCAGGCTGTCTCTTGTCGTGGCAGAGGGGACCATCAGCAGCTCACGCTTAGTAACCGCATTAGGAAAGGATGTCCCTCTTCTGAAAGTTCCCACAAAAGTTCTAGGGTGGATCTCATGGCATTTCCCTGCATCATGTGCCCACCTTTGTATCAGCCACTGTGGCCAGGGAGATGGACAAAGCTGGTCATAGAAGGGTGGGCAAGCCCAAGAACCCTAGAGACGGGGTGGGAGAAGGGTGGTCTCCACAGGGAATTGGGGCACTGCCACTGGAAGAAAGAGTTCTGAATGGTGGGAAGGTAGAAACAGTCCCCCTCCATGAACAAGGATTTGGGGTGGGGCCCCAGCAGCCACCAGGGCCTAGGAGTGTCTGAGTGGTACTGACGCTGTGTCCCTCTCAGGTGCAGCACGTGCTCGGGGAGGGGGAACAAGACCTGTGCCACCTGCAAGGGGGAAAAGAAGCTGCTGCACTTTGTCCAGCTGGTCATCGTGTGGTACGTGGAGGTGTCTCCGTGCGTGGCCCTGTGGGACGTGGCCGGGACTGGTTTCTGCAGAGAAACCACGTGGTTGGGGCTTTTGCACACAGTACAGGGGCCCATGGCGGGTGGGAGGAGGGGGTGGGGAAGGGCTTAAAGCTCCCAGGAAAGGGGAGAGAGAGAGAGAGATCCCTGGGAAGAGGTGGCAGGGGTGGCGGGCTGCTGGCGGGCTTTAGAACGGACAGACTTCACATTCCGACATCACCACTTCCTAGTGTCGCAGCCTCTCTCAACACCTGGCGTCCCCGTCTGCGTCCTAAATCCCCAGGTCGGGGAACGCTCCAGGCCTTAAAGGGTTCTCCGGTGGGCACTTTGCTAGGCCCGCACAGGGAAGGATGGGCTGAGCTGTGGGTACCTGCCTGGTTTCCCAGTTCACAGCTGGACATGCTGGGCCCAGGGAGGTCAAGACCTTCCCCAGGTCCCCGCAGCCCAGGCCTGCCTGAGCCCACACCCACGTTCTTGCCGCCCCCGTGCTCTTCACCTGCAGGAAGAACAGCCTGTTTGAGTTTGTGTCCGAGCACCGGCTGAACTGCCCCGTGCAGCTCCTAGCTAAAGCCAAAGGAGAGAACCTCTTCAAGGATGAAAACACGACGGTAAGGAGGGTTTGCAAGCACCACGCCAAGCTATGTCCACCCGCTGGCTCTTCTGGCTCTTCTGGCTCTTCTGGCTCTCTGTGGGCGCTGCATTCATTTAGCACGGGGTGGGCACGTCCAGCCCTTGGGCCCTTTACGGTCCGTGAAATCATGTGGTCTGGCCCTGCCCAGGCATTAGGGGTGAGTTAGTTAAATGTTTGCCCTAATACAGCAGGCTAATTTTTAAGTTGGCAGTTCTGTATGGCCCTTGAATGATGTTATAAATATCCAATGGCCCTCGGCAGAGAAGAGGTTCCCCATCCCTGCTCTAGAAGGGCAGGCTGGGAGGGAAGAGGGCAGCCTGTCAGGCCAGAGGCCTCCAGGACCCCACGGGGCCAGGCCTCCTTGAATGTCACATACCAGGCCCTTCCTCCCTTTTCCCTTCCTCCCTCTTCCTCCTCCCTCTCTCCACAACCTTGGGCTCTGGGGATACTGCCCAGCAACATCCCTGCCTCGTAGATGTCATAGTCTGGGGAGGGAGAGATGGTAACATGCAGCACAGTGTCAGAGACAGTAAGGGTCAGTGAGAAACACGCAGCCAGGTGGGGAGACCGGAAGGGTAGGGTGTTGTTTCAGCACTGGGGGTGGGACGTGGGACAGGGAGGTGACAGTGGGGGTGGATCAGGTGGCCGTGGGAGCGAGGGTGTCTGGCAGAGGGAACAGTTCACAGAGACCTTGCAGATCGGTAGGGCAGGGGCGCTGGAGGGCAGAGAGCCAGGTGGAGTGAGGAGCTAGGACACGAGCTGTGCCAGCAGCCAGGTCAGGGAGGGCCCTGTTGGCCAGGGGCTGTCAAACTCCAGGCCCTCATTTAATAATAAAGTTTATAAATAAAGTTTTATTGGAACATAGCCATGCCGGCTGGTTTAGGTATTGTCTGTGGCCGGCTTTGTGCTGTGAGGGCAGAGTCTCGTAGTTGGGACAGAGGGCGATGGCCCACAGAGCCTGCAGTAATGCGACGTGGCCCCGTGGCCCCGTGGCCCTTTCCTGTGGGCCTCGGCAGGAGCTCGGCCGCGTGGGGGGCCTGAGCGGGGTCCTCGTGCTGTTTGCTCTGAGAGGGCCAGGTGCTCAGCCCCCTTTTATTTCTTCTTTCTTTGCTTCTCTCTTCTTTATCGTATTGCAACCTCTTTAGATTGACTTCTCTCACTCTGCCAGATGCATTTTTAAAAATTGAGATATAATTGACATATATCACTAGATTAGCTTTTAGGTGTACAACACAATGACTGGATGGATATATGTACATATTGTGAAATGATGGCCATGAGAAGTCTAGTTAACATCGGTCACTGTACAGAGTTACATAATATCTTTGTCTTGTAACGAGAACTTTTAAGATCTGTTCTCTCAGCAACTTTCATATGTCCAGCGCAGCATTATTTACTACAGTCATTACATTGTTTGTAGTAATGTAGTCATTTACTACATCATTTACTACACTGTTCATTACACCCCTGGGACTTAAATTTATAACCAGAAGTTTGTGTCTCTTGACCTCCCCTCACCCCCTTCCTCCACCCCTCACCTGCCCCTGGCAACCATCAATCTGTCCTCTGTATCGGTGAGTTTGGTTGCTTTGCTCATTAGATGCCACATACAAGTGGGAACATATGGTATTTGTCTTTCTGTCTGACTCCACTTGGCACATCCCCTCAAGGTGGCAGTGCCAGGTCTTCCTTCTTTCTGTGGCTGAGCAGTATTTCTCGGCCTCATCGCTGCCTTTCCTTCAGGCTCCTGGCAGGCGCCTTCCCTCTAGGACAGTGGATCCAACCTTGGCTGCACATGAGAATCACCTGGGAATCTCTTTAAAATCCTGATTTCTGGGCCTCATCCTGTGGGAATTCTGTTTCTTTGTTATGGGGTGGGGCCGCAACATTAGTAACCAAGAAACAGAATTTCCGGAGGAGGAGGCCCAAAAATCAGGATTTTACAAAGACTCCCAGGTGATTCTCATGTGCAGCCGAGGTTGAGAACCACTGCCCTCAGAAAGCACGCCCTGCCTCAGGCAGCCTCAGGGGCTTGCGGGGGACCAGCGGGCTGCGGGAGGAGTACTGTCTACAGCCCCCTGTCGGTGGCATTCCCAACAGAATGTGGGTCCTCAAGGGTCGGCAGGCTTCAGCCACCCCACCCGCTTGCTGCTTGGCCTCCCTCGGGCCCTTCCCAGTTGGGCCCGCTCCCGTCCACCTGAAGTCCATTGCCAGGGCTCCAGGTGCTGGCACTTGGTCAGAGTGGTGAGGTGGTGCGTCTCTCCTCAGGTGTACCCCCTGGCGGACTTCCCGCTGCGGGAGATCTCGCTGGCCTCCCAGCGGGGCATTGCCCAGCACAGCGCTGCCACCCTGGCCTCCAGAGCCCGCGTCCTTCAGCAGGTGAGCGGGCGGGGCAGGGGCTGCTTCTGGGGCCAGGAGGGGGCTCCCGGGTCCCATAAGGGAGGAGAGGGATGTTCCCTCTGCCGGGGGCTCCTTCCTGAGAAGGCAGGGAGGGAGGGAGGGTGGCAGGGGAGTCCCCGTCTGAGGAACACGAGGTGGACTGGGGACTGAGCTGGGGCCAGTGTGGCCAGGGGCAGTGAGTGGGACAGGACGCACAGTCCATGGTGACAGGCTTGGATTGTTATCCCGACAGGAAGCTACTGCAGGGTTACAAGCAGGAATCTGGCTCAGTGTGATTTTGATCCAAACCTGCCCGATATTCAGACGGGAAGGGAAATCTCAAATCCAGGGTGGTAGGTAGGGTGGGAACCCAGTGCCCTGCCCCTGGGGGCATTTCCCAAGTCCCAACCTGTTTTCCCCAAGCCTCCAGGGGCAGGTGTGGCAGCTGGGTTTAGGGTTGCCTTGGTGCTGAATCCCAGTGGCCACTAGGTGGCAGTGGTGCCGTCCACAGCTCCAGGGCTAGGGTTGCCTTGGTGCTGTAGCCCAGTGGCCAGAAGGTGGCAGTGGTGCCCGGCGTGTCCCCAGGAGTGGCTTTCGTGGCAGCTGGCTGGAAGCTGTCAGAGGGAGGGTGGGGGTTTGGACAGGGAATGCCCAGCGCCAGTTCTGTGTAGGGGATTGTCAGGGGGCCTGAGTCTTGCAGAGTGTGCTCAGATCCTGGTTCTTTTGCACCCTAACCTGGCCATGGCCACCTACTCCTCCTCTTTAAAGTTGAGTTTCTCACCTGTGGAAAAAGAAATGCTAAAATGGCCTCATGGAGGTTTGTAAGGATGAGACAACTTTCTTTTTCTTTTTGAAAAATTGTATTAAATTTATTGGAATGACCCGTTAATAAGGTTATCTAGGTCTCCAGTGTACAATTCTAAATACATCTGTATATTGATTGCATTGTATGCTCACCACCCAGTCTAATCTCCTCCCATCACCATGTATTTGATCACCTTTACCCTCTTCAACCTCCCCCTCCCTTTCCCCTCTGATCATCACCATGCTGTTGTTTGTGTCTGTGAGGTTTTTATTTGTTGATTTCCGTTTTATATCCCACATGAGTGAAATCATGTGGCTCTTGACTTTCTCCACCTGACTTTTTACACTTATGATGTTCTCACGCTCTATCCATGTTGTCGCAAATGGCAGCATTTCATCTTTTCTTATGGCTGAGGAGTATTTCATTGTGTACATGTACCATCTTCTTTATCCAATCATCTACCAAAGGACACATTGGTCATCTCCATGTCTTGGTCACCGTGAATAACCTTCTGTACCAAAATGTCAAGGGAGGTCTTTTATTTCTAACGTTATCAGTTGGAGACCAGCTTCTGGCATATGGAGAAATCTGTCTCACAGTCTCATTTGGTCGTCTCAGCAACTCTGTGACAGAGAAGTTTTATTCCCATTTCACAGATGAGGAAACTGAGGCCCAGATAAAGGAAGTGTGAGATCCCACAGAAAGCTTTGTGGAAAATGCACACCCTGACTCTGACCCCCTTCTGCCGCAATGTCATGCCTCCCCTCAGCTTCCCCGCAGTGTAGTAGGGAGCATTTTCTCAACCCCTCCGCCCCCAGCCTGTTTCACCCTTTCCCCAGGGCCCTGAACCACCACCTACGGCAACAGGACTTGGGCTCTTTACTTAAGGAGGGGAAATAAGAGGGCCTGATCCTGGGCCAGCCATGCCACCTCCCTCTGGGTTTGAGATTCCCGAACCTGAGTGTTGGGCAGGGGAAGAGTCAGTGCGGAAGGACTTAGGGGTTCTGACATAAAGCCTGGCCCACAGGATGTCCCCAGGAACGCTTCGCTTCAATGACCAGGGGTGACTGTGTTGGGTCAGCCGCATCTGCAGTTGTCATAACAACAGCCCCAGAAGCTAATGGGGGTGGGTCCTCAGAGGGAGGCCAGCGTCCTCACCCAGGGTGGCGGCTGGTCCCATTCAGGACCCCTCCATTTTGGAAGGTTGTTGCGTCATTGATCAGAGAAGGGGCCAGAGAATGAGGGGCTTTAGGGCCACGCTGTCGGAGGGAGTGTCCCAGCCTCTAGGTAGAGGAGGATGCTGTGGAGAGATGTGAGCGTGGAACAGGTCCAGCTATGGCGAGGAGATGGGTCTTGACTTCAGATCTTCCAAACTGGAAATCCCATGAGCCCATGGGTCTCAGTTTTCCCATTTGTTAAAGGAGGGGAACATTTGAGACCTTTCTCAAAGGAGGGTCGGTGCAAAACCATGGTAAGAGAGGGCGGGGTCTGAGAAAATAGCCTGAAACAGCCTACCAAACTTTGGAGTTTCTTTGGTGTCAATGTTTATCTTGAAATGCAATTCAGGTTGTATAATCCACTCCCTAATATGTCCGTGGCTGTTGTAATATAAAAATGTTTAAAATGACTTTATCCTCTACTTTCCCCCCACCACCACCACCACCCCCATCTGAAATTAATGTCCTGGAAGATGTCCCACTTGTCAGTGACTCTCCGTGCATCCCATTCCTCCCCGGGGCTGCCTGCGCCTCCACTGCAGGGAACCTAGAGTCAGAGGGTTCGGTTTGGGCCTGAGCTTAGCGTTGATGGAGGAATGTAGTGGGAGATACAGCTAGGAAGGCAGATTTCCGCCAAAATGCCGACTCCAGAGCAAGGACTGCAGCCCACAGGTGGCGGGGAGCCCCGACAGCTCTTGGACAGGCGAGCGACTTGGGCAGGACACTGAGGCTTTTCCCGGCCCATTGTTTCCTCAGCGCCAGACCATCGAGCTGGTCCCCCTCACGGAGGTGCATTACTGGTACCGGGGGAAGAACAATGTCTACTACATCTACGGCACCGACCACCGAGTGTACGTGGCGGACTACCCCGAGAGGTACTGCTGCAGCTGCACCGTCATCTGACCCGGCTCAGCCGGCTCTCCCCTCCGCCCGCCCCTCACACTCACCAGGGAGGGCCACCAGGCTCTGAGCTCACCCATCATTGGCTTCATTGGATGTCGCTTACCAACGCTGGCGTGTCTGTCCTTCTAGAAAATTCACCTTACCATCTGCCAAGCACAAGTCGTTCCGGAACTCCTCTGGGGGACTCCGTCCTGTGTTTAACCTGCAAGAATTCAACTCCACACAATCCTTTCGGACAAACAAAGCGAAGGCAATGCCTGACTGTGTGTGGGGTTTGCTTCTGCTCTTCCCTGGGTCAGGCATTCCCCTTCTAGTGCGAGCCTTTGCCGAGCCAAGTGTCACTGGCATGTTTAAAGATGCACACGCGTCGGCTGCCCCCACATGCACCCCAAGGAGTGCACTGAGGCACAAAGTACCTTTATGTCCTAGAACCTGACTTCCCATCTGTGGGGCAGGAATTCAGACATGGCCATCATGGGATGGTTTATCTCTGCTGCATGATGTCTGGGGCCTCACCTGGGAGACTTGAAGGCTGTGATGGCTCACGGGCAGGGGGCTGAGGTCACCTGAAGGCTGGTCACCAGAGATCTGGTAGTTGACGTGGTTGTTGGCTGGGACCTTCGCTGGGCTGTCAGCTGGAGCACCTGCACGCGGCCTCTCTGTGCGGCCTGGGCTTCCTCACAACATGGCTGCTGTAAGGCTCAGTGCCCCGCACAGGGGCCCTGACGGAAGAAAGTCTGTTCCCAAAGGGGAGAACAACTGCTGTGTTGGATGGATGGAGGGTACATGCTGATCTCTAACGTGTGCCTTTGCGGGGACGGATTTGGGAGAGTGTTTTTAGATGCATGCAGGTTCTTACGTCACGTGCCGGCTTTAGAACCCGTTTACTGAGCGGCACATGTGCACCCAGTCACGTGCAGGAGCTCCCAGCTGGTGCCGCCAGGTGGGGCGGGTGGAGGGGTGCCCTGCACACTGAATGCCCAGGTGGCTTTGGAAGGGTGTGGGGGCTGGGCAGGCCACTGGGCACCTGGCTGTGGGTAACCCAGAGGCCCCTGTCATGTTACCACACCTGCCCCTGACCTGAAGGGGATTGCTGTACCCTGAGAGGGCCAGGCTATACCCTCACTTGACTCCCAAGCTCCTGTCCCCAGCCCTTGTCCCCCAATGGGGTGGGAGGATGTGGACCCAGCAGGCCTGGTGGGAGAGGCCATTCCCAGGATATCATCATCCAGTGATAGGCAGATGAGCACTGCCTTCTCACCCGCCACTCCCAGGCCTGGCTCCCAGTCTTCTGCTCAGGGTGTTGCTGTTTCCTGTACTCTGGGGGCTGAGGGGCTGGGGGGCTGGCTAACAGGAGGAGCAGGGCTCAGGGGAGGGCTGCAGGGAGGCAAGGGAAAGTTGATTGGACCCCAGAGGCCAGCAAACCTTCCAGGATCAGATGCTGCCCCCAGCCAGTGCCACAGGCTCTGCATGGGGGGGGGGGGAGGTCAAGGGCAGGATGAGGTGCTCCCTTACATTGGGGGTACACTCTGGACTGTGGGGACAGAGCCTGGTGGTGGCAGGGGAGACAGGGAGGGTTCCCCCAGGCTTTTCACTACCTCTTCCCTGGACACCCAGAAGCTCTGTGTGCTCCGCCTGGAGGTTCTGGCTCTGGCCGACAGGGAGGCCAGCCCCCCTTCCCTGGTGTCCCCACCCGACCTTCCTGGTCTCAGAAGGGGTGCTTGTGCCCCAAGGGGCCTGTACAAATGGAGGGGACGGCTGTCATGATGAGAAGTGACACTGTTGGCGCTTGGTGGCTGGAGTCCCGGAGAGCTGATGTCCCCCAGGCCGGGGATGCCCATGATGCAGCGCCTCTCCACATCTCCCAGGACGTGCAGAAATCCCACGGCATTCGTGCCGAACTTGGTCAGACAGACTCTCATCAGTCACCCTGAACACAAGGCGATGTTTATGTAGAACCAACCTCTCTGGTTTTCCTGTCTCATTTGAAAAGTTTCGGATCCTCTCCCTGCCCTTCAGTCCACACCTGTAGCTGATGCCGTCACGGGCGCCCCGTGCGCTGCGCACCCACAGACTGAAATACACGTGTTGGAAATTGCCTTCTCTCTTCTCCTTTATCGTTCACTTTGGGCATCCCATGGCCTTTTTAAAAAACGGTGTGTAGATGATATATTATGTCACAGCATATCACATGCAGATGACACATGCGTGTCATTTCAGGATAAATAGGGACCATGCTAGGGTTGAGGCCCTGCGGGTCGTACACACTGTTGGCCTGTGACCCAATGAGAAAAGCTAGCGGGAATGAGGGGGTCCAACGGGACGCTGTGCCAATGGAGGCTGCGGAGCCACAGCCACGGCCCTCAGCCCCCACGGTCCCGGCCGAGGCCCAGCGGACCCGGGTCCCCTGGTGCATAACCCGTGTGTGTTCCCCTCAGTGTTCTCCGCTTTATGCCTTTGCTGCAGCCGGAATGTGACTCACCTGCTGTTGCTGGCTCTGACTGTGTAGCCCAGACCCAGCCGACGTCGTGGGGGGGAGAGAGAGCACATGAGGGCAGCCCTCACCCCAAAACTGGCCTCCACGGATGTGGCTCTGCCCCCAATTCGACTCTGTTTTAGAACATCAGACGCAAGTGCTCGCTTTTTCTTTGTCGCCCTGCTGAGCAGTCGCTGGCTGTCCCCTGGGCGCCAGAGCCATGCTGGGCTTAGTGGTTCACAGGGGGCTGACGTCTCTGCCTGGAGCCCACAGGGCAGCACGTATGCAGAGAAGGAAGGAGTCACTGGGTATTGGGGAGCTTTACAACATGAGAATGCCTCAGGCCCAATTGGTGGTGATGGCTACAAGTGTATGTATGTGTGTGCATGTGTGTATATGTGTGTGCATGGCATGTGTGTATGCACACTGAATGTGTATGTACATGCTTTTGCACACATGAATATGTGTGTGCACGCACACGTGTGCATGCACATGTACATGTGTGCACAGCGTGTGCACTGCTTGTGTATGTGCATGTGTGCACACATTTGTGCATCCACGGTGTATGTGTGTGCATATGTATGTTTGTACATGTATGTGTGTGCACGGTGTGTATATGCCTGTGAGTACATGAGGTATGTGTGTGCTGGCCAGGTGGGGAGCATCACTACTCAGAAGGCAGGAGGACTTCCTCCCCGTTTCCCCCGCTTTACGGGCCCCCTCATTGTTGGTATTCCCAATGCTCCAGCCCGCAGCACGCGCTCAGCCACGGCCGGCTTTCCTTTCTCGTTCACATGCAGCCCTTGCCACGAAGGGTGATGGGAGAACTGTGGTTTTTTTCATGGTTGGGACAAACACGCCAAGTAGAATTACGTTTCCCAGCAGGGAAGAACCTTCTAGATGCCACTTCTTGGCCCTGACGGTT